GTCGGGTCGCCTGGCGGAGGGGCTAGTTATGTCGTCTCGGATCACAACTATACACAAAAATTTAAAAGAAAAAAATGGCCCCTTTTGTCAGCCTAGTGGCAGAGGCTGGCCCTTTAGCACGGTGTGTTGAGACGGAGGTCGAATCGCCAGGCAGAGGGGGACTTATGTGTCCCGGATCACAGTTCTATAAGCAACCTCCCTCAGTTCACTCTCAGTACCCCGTCATTTTGCGGACAGTGCCAGCAACTGAGTGGAACAGGGCCGCCGGAGACCGCCTGGAAACTCGGCAGCAGTATCGCTTTTTCTCTCTTTTCCGCCATTTCGGAGGCAGGGCTTGAGTCTGCAGCTGCGACAGACTTGGCAGATTTGGGAGAAAAAGTGGCTGCGCGCCTCCTCACGCAGGGCGCGACCAGCTCTGCCACAGAGGCAGCGGCTATGACTCAGGCGGACGCCTGGGCAACAAGTCCCCGCAGTCGGAGGCTTTGGGGTCCCCGAATTGCAGCTGCCCACCCCCTGCTAGTCAGCGCTGAAGCCGACTGCACCGGGAGGGCATCCGCAGCCAGAGTCCGCCATTGCCTATTCCCAGGGTTGCGTCCCAGGGCCGCCTGCCGAGTCCGCCGTGTGCCCTACCCACGGCGACTCTGGACTGATCCATGGGAGAACTCTGTGCTGTGTCTCTCCCAGCACCCGCGGAAGTTTCAGAGATTTCCGCGGGTAGAACCTCTTTTATGGAGTTCCCCTCCCCCGATCCAGTCCCAGAGGTCTCCTGTGGCAAGAAGCTGCCTCCAAACTCTCCCCTGCAGGCTCAGGCGGCCTCTGATCTGGGGAGCGCGCGCTTGGGCTGGTCCCTCCCCTCTGTTGCCGACCCAGCGCTGCGCTCCGCTGGGTTCGAAATGGACCCCGCTCCTGTCTTGGCTCCCCACCGCTTGTCGGTCTGTGCTACCACTTCGCACTGACCTCTGGCACTTCCCTGCCTGCGTGGGAGTGGGGTTTGGTGAAGCAAGAGTAGTCTTCTTGTGAGTCAGATCGCACTGCCCGGGCGAGCCCGCCATGGGGCGCGGCCGTGCCGCCCTGCCTTTCCCCTTTGTCCCAACTCTTTGGTAATTTGCGAGTGCTTTTTGAGTTCACCTGAATTTTTATCCACGGGACTGCTTGTCCCTCGCCACTTCTCTGTAGATTCACGAAGCTAATCCTGTAGGGGAGCGCCTCGCTCGCATGTGGGTGTCCGTGTTCTTCACCTCCCACTCTGGGAGCAGAGAGCCAGGAGGTCACCCCTAATCTGCCATCTTCCCGACCTATAATTAAATCTTATAAGCTTATAATTAAAAGCAATGGTTTCTTATCTCATTTTCATGCTCATTCCACCCCTGATTTCTGTTCATCAGGTGGAAACTCTTTCAACTTTTTAAAATTGTTGTCTTCTGATACCTACCTCCATGTTTGTAAATAAGATACTTAGGCTGCTATTTCTTCATTTTTCAGTTTTATGTTGTTAAAAATATTCTGACACTTGTTTAAAAAACTATTGCAATAGAGGAAAGGGATTGGGTTCAACTGCAAATAGAGCAAAGACAGCTGGGGATTTACAGCTAACGTTAAGTTATCTATAGGTCTTTTCTTTGGGGCTTGTTTTTCCCAGGTAGAAAATCTTTAATCTGCTATTGGGGTTGGAAGTTATGCAGAGTGTTTTGGGTTTGGGAAAATCCTGGGACAGTATAGAAAAACCACACACATGCTCCCACCTCCATTGACATGGAACAGAGGACCAAAGATTGACTCAGACAAGTCCAGCTTGGTGAGTTAGATAAGTTTATTAGAGGTTACTTACAAGGGTACTTATTCCTGGTCAACACAGGGATCCTCCTGGCACTCACTCCTGGACAGCAGCAGTTCTTCAGAGAGTACAGTCCACACCACCTACAGGTGGTGTCACCTTAGAACCCTTCCCAGGGAGTGATGCACAGCTCTTGCATTGTATCATCATGTGATCTCACTGAAACAAATCAAGCATGCATGCGCAGTACAGTTATCATGAGCCATCATACAATCCATGTTATGCTAATGATATTATAATTCTCCACTAGGTGGAGATTTTAGTATTACAATTAACTAAAGGGTATTATTGTTCAGCTAAAGCAGTTCTAAAGCAGTCAGGGCAGGTTTACACCAGTTGCTTCTGCCTCCAGAAAGTGCTGATGCACATCTCTTGTGCCTGGGAACTATCTTTGGGCATTTGTGCTTAATCTGTTTTGCAACAATTTTGTTGAGCACTCCAAGCTAGCACAGCACAGTATTTCTTTGTGTGCTGGGGAACTTGCATTTTTTCCCTTACAGGGTTATATGGGGGTGGTGATGAGGGTGGATATTATTATAATATACAATTTACTTGTGAGAAAATTATAGCAAAGGTCAAGTTACCACCCAGAGTTTTTGGTAATAAATATTGAAGCCTAGATAGATTCAAACCCTGGCAGGCTAATCCCAGAATCCTAGTCTCTTCAATACACCACTATATAAAGTGTTCTTTTATATCAATAACAAAAAAATAAGCACCTTAAGAAATGATCAAAAGCCATAGATTAGCAGTTCACACTTTGAAAAATCCTTCCTGTTTGCCTTTTATGTATGCTCTTGGTTTTCCTTATACCTGCTGAGCATCCTTTTTCTCTCTTTAGTGAGATTTTGTATCCACTACTGAACGTCTCACTGCTCACTCTCTGCTCTTCAGTACGCTGCTGTTGTCAAAACCACAAGGGCGTTTTGGTCTAGGTCCACTTGCTCATTTCACAAAAATCCAATTATTGAGAAAATGAGGATTGCCAAGGAAGACAGGAATCTTTAATACGACGGATGTCTTGTCAGGAGAACAAGAGAAGCCGCCTCAAATCTGTCTCTCTGACTAAGGGATATTAGGAGCTTTTAAAGGAGGAGCTGCATGCCTTGGGTCAGACCATGGGGTATCTCACAAGGTGCTACCTGAATTGGGGGCAGGTCGTGGGGGATGGTGAATATTGGTGTCAGGAAGTCTGTCCTGGGGCCTTTGGAATCTCAACTCTTATTTTTTTTCCAAAATTTGTCCATTTATTATTAAAGTGAAGGTGAACATTACAGTCTAAGGCTACGTACTGTGATAACTTCATATAATTCTGAAATATTTGTCACTTCACATTATTTTGTCTGTATCATTCTGATTTTTCCTTATTTTTTTAATTTCAAGATGTTAAGAGGGTACAAAAGTTTTTGTTACATGGCTGCCTTTTATAATGCTTAAGTCAGGGTTTTAGGGTACCCATCACACAGTGTTCATTGTACCCAACAGGAAGATTTTTTACCCCTCCCCTCCTCTCCTCCCCATTCTTGATTTCCAATGATCTTTAAATATCTTTGTGTCCATGTGTACCCATTGATTAGCTCCCAATTATTAGAAAGTACATGTGGTGTTTGTTTTTCCATTCCTGATATACTTCACTTAGGATAACATCTCCAGTTCCATCCAAGTGCTGCAACAGACATTATTCCATTCCTTTTTATGGCTGAGTATTATTTGATGGCAAATAGACACCACATTTTCCTAATCCATTCATGAATTGATGGGCACTTTCGTTGATTCCACATCTTTGCAATTGTAAATTGTGCTGTGATAAACATTTGTGTGCAGGTGTCTTTTTGATAAAATGACCTCTTTTCCTTTGGGTAGATACCCAATAGTGGGATAGCTGTATCAAGTGGTAAGTCTATATTTATTTCTTTGAGGAATCTCCATACCGTTTTCCATAGAGGCTATACTAATTTGTAATCCCACCAACAGTGTATAGCCTTCATTTCTCTCTGCTTCCATGCCAGAATCTGCTGTTTTTTGACTTCTTAGTAACAGCCATTCTGGTAGGATTAAGGTGCTATCTCTGTGTGTTTTTAATTTGCATTTCTGTGATAATTACTGATGTTGAGCATTTTTTCATATGTTTTTTGGCCATTTGTCTATCTTCTTTTGAAAAACTTCTGCTCATGTCTTTTGCCCACTTTTTAATGGGGTGGTTTGTTTTTATCTTGCTGATTTGTTTGAGATCTTTGTAGATTCTGGATATTAGCCCTTTATCATATGTATAGTTTGCATATATTTTCTCCCATGCTGTAGGTTGTCTATTTACTCTGTTGATTATTTCCTCAGCTGTGCAGAGCTTTTTAATTTAATGAAGTCTCATTTGTTTATTTTTGTTGTTACTATATTTGCCTTTGGGGTCTTAATTATAAATTCTTTGCCTTGACCAATGTCTAGAAGAATTTTTCCTACGTTTCTTTCCAGAATTTTTATGGTTTCATGGCTTACATTTAAGTCTTTTATTTTGTCTTGTAGAAAATTCATCATTTTAGGCCAGGTGTGGTGGCTCACTCCTATAATCCCAACACTTTGGGAGGCTGAGGCAGGAGGATCACTTGAGGCCAGGAGTTTGAGTCCATCATTTCTACTCAACTGAAAGGGTCAAGTAGTTAGTTAAGGGAAATATAAAAATACATATAGGGGTTTATGGAGCTGGTTACACTGGTTGTCAGAGAATCATTTATCCATGGAATTTTAGTGATTAAACAATTTAGTGTACTCCCCTGTATAATATTATGTAATGCTTATTTACTTGCCTCTAACAATTCTCTATCTTCTTGAATTATTTTTACTCAAATATAACATTGTCTTGTCTTTTTTTTTTTCTGATTCCTAAACACATTGCCATATCTCTTGTATTCTCAAAGGTAAGCCTGCTAGATCTCTTCAAAAGAATTTTCTAATAATATTGTTTATATAATATACACATATATTTTAATTGGTACCAACCTGAAGTGTGCTTAAATATTATAATATTAGCCTTTTAGTAAGTAGCTTATTGAAGTGCTTAAGTACTTTCTTTTATCATTGAGCAAGAATTCTTGCTAATATTAGTAGTAAATATGGTGCCATGCATTTTATTATAAGCTGTCTTACAAGATACATATTTTATTGTTTGTAGGAAACAAACAAATTCAGCAGCTATCCACTATATCACAGTGTCTATGAAACGTATGAGCTGGTGGAAAAATTTTATGATCCAACATTTAAATATCACCTCACTGTGGCCCAGGTTCGAGGAGGGATGGTGTTTGAACTAGCCAATTCCATAGTACTCCCGTTTGACTGTGGAGATTATGCTGTAGTTTTAAGAAAGTATGCTGACAAAATCTACAATATTTCAATGAAACATCTACAGGAAATGAAAACATACAATGTATCATTTGGTATGTTACCCTTCCTCTTTTAAAATTCATTATCTGTATGTTTCTATTCATTTCTAAAATGTAATGACCTAGTTTACGTCATTTATTATTTATGGCTATTCCAAATGAGCAAATATTCTGTTTATGTTTAAAAATGCATTTTCCATTTCGTGGGTGCTCACATCTTATACAAAAATGTAAATACCTGTAAAACACAAAGGTTTTCTATATTGTTCCCTTTTCTTGAACTATAGACAATGTCATTAGAAATTATGTTGATGATTTCAATTTCTATTTCAGATTCACTTTTTTCTGCAGTAAAGAATTTTACAGAAATTGCTTCTAAGTTCAGCAAGCGACTCCAAGACTTTGACAAAAGCAAGTATGTTCTGTATATATGTTATGTATATAATAGATATAATTGCAAGAAAATACTAATTGACATTGTTGTTGTTGAAATAAGGAAAGTTTTTTGCTGTTTTCTCTCTCTGCACTCTAACATTCTATCTCTCAAAGACCTGTTTCTGACATTCTGAGTGGGAATTGAGCTGTTCAGAAGTGCCTCCCATAGCCAACTAACTGATAAGTTACATCAGACTGTCCTTAATATTGAAGGTCCTCTGCTGTATTACCTGGCTTTTTTTCAGTTTTATCTCTTGTTCTTTCAGTATCTGTACATCATACTTCAGCCAAATTCTTTTATTCCCAGGGCATACTTTCTTTCTACCTCTTTTTAAAATATTACCTCTACATAGAGTTCCTCATTTCCACTGCCAGCTGGTAAAATTCTATTAATATTTATCCAGAATAATAAATATTGTGAAGCCATAATATTTTTGGAAATGTTAAACTTTTAGTATTAATTCTGTATACAATCGCAAAAGTAAAAACATAATTTGAACAAAATTTTAAGATGGAAGAAAAAAGTGCGACAATATTGAAGAAAATTTTTTAAAAGTAGAATTTTGAGGGTAAACATCTGTGTATTAAGCATAGTATCTGACCTAAGTATCATGTGCTTGGGAACTGAGGTAAGAATACATAGAAGGGCGGCGGGAGGAGGGAGGGGGGGACGGGTATTTGTATACACAAGGAGTGCAATGCGCACTACCCGAAGGATGGACATATTTGAAACACGGACTTCGGTGGAGCGGGGGGGAACCAAGGGCAACACACGTAACCTAAACATATGTACACCCATAATCTGATGAAATAAAAAAAAAAAAAAGAAAAAGAAAAAAAAAAAGAATACATAGAAGGGTAAGATAGATGATTCAGAAATAGGCTTAGTGATATATAAACAAGAATTTGTAATTAATGAAGGATACAGCAAAAATCAATGGGAAAAGGAAGAATCATTCAATAATAATATTGTATATATTAGCAGCTGAGAAAAAGGCAAATTCAGAATCTCACTTCACATTGTGTGCAAATATAAACAAAAGGTGTAGAAGAGTTATTTATTTTAAAAAATGGAAATTTCTTAAAAAAGAAATGCCAAGTTTAGAAGCAATGGATCTCTCCATGTTGGGTGTGAAAGAAATGAACAAGAGGAAAAAATTTTTTTAAAAAAAGAAAAAATATATAAATAGAAGCAATGGGGAAATAATGCAATCAGATTTGGGAACATTAAACATGGTTCAGGATATGGAAATTCACACTCAAAAGCAAAGAGAAAAGAGTTAGAAACTACTTTTCCAGCAAATATGGAAAGAGGGTAATATAAACATTATAAAAATATTTTTTGAAAATCCCCCAAATCCAAAAGAACAAATTGGAACTATGGGTAATAGACAACACAAATAACTCAAAAAAAATTTTATCAAAGATGCCACCCATAAGAAAACACATAGCAAAATATTCCAGTTCACTAAAACATGATTTGAAAATACAAATGAAAAATATTCTTTAATATCAAATTAATAACAGTTTAAAACTTTGTTGCGCCCATTGCTATAGGCAGTACACTGCAGCAAATGCTCTTATGTTTTTCTGATAGCATTGTCAAATATTTTAACCTTTTCACAAAAGATAAATATATATTGATAAAATTTCAAGAGTCATCACGGTGTTCATATACTTTGACATAGTATTTTCATTTCCTGAAGTTTTTCTTAAGGAAAGTCTCAATTTGGGAAAATAAGAGACTGCTCAGAAAAACATGTGAATTATAAAATTATAATAGCAAATAATTCAAAACAATGTCATGCCTAAGAGAAATAATTTTTAAAAAGTGATATCTACCAATTTGAATATTTTGTAACAATTAAAATTGATCATAAATACAAGATATTTAAAATATGAGGTAAGCAAATAGGATGTAAAATTGTAAATATAGTTTGATTAATTTTTATTGACAGAGAGAAAAACTTAAAGGGAGTAAACCAATTAGTATAATAATTGTGTTATCCTGAGGGGAGAATTGTTTTCTTATCCTTTACAATTCTTTTCAAATGTTTTACATGAGGAAAAAAAATTAACAATGAGAAATACATTTTAAGGATATATCAAGCACCATATAGTCCATGAAGTTAATTTTCTATCTTTAAAAAAAAATGATGTTTTCCCCCTCAGACAGACTGCCTCATGATTTGAATTGTGGCTTTCTTAGGACATTCAGCATTCCCTTCCTTGAATATTTCTGTATTTATCTTATCCTTTCTAAATGATCATTAAAATATAGTTTGCATCTCTGTATGATGTTTAAAACTCCTGAAACACCTGAGATGTGCATTGCACATATTAATAGTAAATGCTGGCTAAGTAAATTAAACTGGATGTAGAATTTCTCACCTAAGGGAGAGACACTTTTTTTTTTTTTTTGAGACAGAGTCTCACTGTGTTGCCCCAGCTAGAGTGCAGTGGCATCATGATAGCTCACTGCAACCAGAAACTCCTGGGCTCAAGCGATCCTTCTGCCTCAGCCTCCAGAGCAGCTGGGACTATAGGCACGAACCACCATGGCCGGCTTTTTTTAAATGTCTTGTAGAGACAGGGTCTCACTCAGGCTGGTCTCGAACCCCTGAGTCAAGCAATCCTCCTGCCTCAGCCCCCCAAAATGCTACGATTACAGGAGTGAGCCACTGCACCTGGCCGAGAGACACTTCTTAATCCTGCTTTTCTTGTATCAGTCCCTTGACCCACCAGAGGATACAGGGTATTGACTCCTTAGTATCTTCGTACTCACATAGTAGTCAACCTTAAGACCTATAGTTTTCTAGTCATCTCTAAGGAGACCAGAATGCTTCAGGAGTGAAAAGATTCTGTTCACTTAACTCTGGTGCTCTGAGCATGCTGAGTGATGTTCCAGAGTTACTTGAAATTGAACTCTCCTCTGTATAAGAATCACTCTGTATAAGGGTTTTTAGTTGTTAGCCACAAAATTAGAAGAGAGAGAAAGAGAGGAAGGAATGGAGGGAGTCGGGGAGAGAGAGAGAGAATGAGAGAGAAGGGTGTGTGTGTATGTTTGTGCATTTACATGTGTGTATACACATGAATTTTTGTATTTGTAGCAATGTTGTGTGAATTTGATTCAGAAACCCATAGCATCTTACTGAATTATCTTTCATTTGATTGTCTCATCTGTTTATGTGAACTGCTAACAGGTAAGTCTATGTCTCGTTTACCTTTATAATGTCACAAAACCTGAGTCTATGATGTTAAATAAATAAATTTTGAAAATAGCTCAAATCCAAATTATTGGGGCTTTAGTTATTCCTATTTTCTTTTTGTCAACACAGTGTTATTGAAAGAACAATAAGAACAATACTGACAGCCTATTTCACTCTAAAACTTTCTAGCATCAACTTGGACAAGTTATTTTACTACTGATCCTTAGTTATCTCATCTATAAAATGGGGCTGTTATTACCCTGTCCAACTTGCAGGATTGCGCTGAAGATTAAAAATAACCAATTATATAAACATTCGAAATAGAAATTGGTATATAGGAAGTGATCTCTAAATGCTTACTTATTATTAAAACTAAATTATAAAAAATAAGAACTAACTAAATGAATGGATAAAAGGATTTATTATTCCTATTGTAATGATTGTTTCTCACTAGTTAATTAAATTATGAAAATTAGCATATTTAGTTTAGTAACTCATTGTTGAACTATTCAGGGTTTGTTGATGAATTTTCATTTATATTGAATCATTCTTATGATAACAACCCCAGCACCACCCTTTGGAATGTGAGTTCTGCGAGAGTAGGGCGTTTTTGATACATAGCAGGCATCCAAATATTGTTGAAAGGATGAAGTAAACATCATGTCTTGTGTTTATGGAAGGTTATTTCTAATAATAGCAAGAATAGTATTAGTTTTCACTTGGTAAGTAACTATTTACCAAGTTTGGGTAAATAGTTTGGTAAATTTGCCAGGCATCTTACTGAACATTAGTAGATTATCTCATTTCCATATTAATAGTACTTCTGTGAGTAGATTATTAGCATATACAAGGTGAAAAAAGTCTGTATTTATACACCTAGGTTTATCAATTAATTATTATTTCAATAGAAATAAAAATTACTGCCATTTTTTTCCATTAGCACATGCAACTATTTCCAGGTTTCAGGAGCCTTAAGCAGAATGGTATTTTATAGGATTTTAAAATATGGTAATAATTATATATGTTAGTGTTCTTAATTTGCATATTATGGAATTTAAAATATACAATTGACCCTTGAACAACAGGGGTTTGAAGTGCACAGACCCACTAATCTTCAGATATTTTTCAAATATAGTAGGTCCTCTGTATTGGTAGGTTCCCTATCCACAGGCAAACATGGATAGAAAATACAGTACTCGCAGGATGTCAAACCCATCTATAGAGAGGGTTGACTTTTCCTACATGCAGATTCCGGAAGGCCCACTGTCAGACTTGGACTTGAGGACTTGAGCATGCTCGAATTTTGGTATGCGGGAGGGAGTGGTCTTGGAACCAATCCCCTGAGTATACCAAGGAGTGACTGTACTAGTAAGTTTAGTTTTGTTCTGAATTATTAGCTTGCTGAGTGGTACAGACATTTTCGTTAAGTTATAACTATACTCATTTTTTTTAGCCCAATATTATTGAGAATTATGAATGATCAACTGATGTTTCTGGAACGAGCATTTATTGATCCTTTAGGGTTACCAGACAGGCCTTTCTATAGGTAAGAAAAAAATATGACTCCTTGCTGTAATACCACTGTTTCTTGTTTTTTTGCACTGTGAAAAGAAAATCATAGTTGACTTCTCAAGGAAATAGAAACTTGCAAAATATATGTAGTAAATTGTTTCTTCATATAATGTATTAATATGATTCTTGCATATTTTTGTTTTAGTATCTTTTTGTTTCTAATTATAAAAGCATGTATGTTGATTTTAGGAAATTTAGAAAATTTAGAAAGGCATGGTAGAAAATATAAATTTCCCAATCCCATCAGTCAAATATAAAATCATGTTTATTTTTTGGTATGTATAATTTCAGTCCCTTTTTCTTTACCTCTTTACTTTGGAGCTTGTCCTCTTCCAGGGCTATTATAAGAACTGCTTAGTCCCTTCAGTAAAAGTCTTCTGCCTAGGTCATGCAGAACATTACAACATTATTTGTCATGATTCTTCATGCTTTCTGCTAAGCATTCTAAAATGTTAGAGTGACTACTGTTTTTTGGGACAGAGTCTCGCTCTGTTTCCCAGGCTAGAGTGCCATGGCATTAGCCTAGCTCACAGCAACCTCAAACTCCTGGGCTCAAGCGATCCTCCTGCCTCAGTCTCCCAAGTAGCTGGGACTACAGGCCTGTGCCATGACGCCTGGCTAATTTTTTCTACTCTTAGTAGAAACGGGTCTCACTCTTGCTCAGGCTGGTCTCGAACTCCTGAGCTCAAGGATCCTTCCACCTCGGGCTCCCAGAATGCTAGGATTACAGGCATGAGCCACCACGCCCAGCCGAGACTTTTTTAAAACAAGAAAAAAACACAATAGAAGATTCCTGGTCACAAATAGGACTTTAATGATCACAAGTGCCATAATTCAGGGGATAGTATGGTGTAAGAAATCAGCACTTATTTGTAATGTACCTGAGGCAAATCATTTAATCACTGTCTCAGACCTCAGTTTCCTCTTTTGTGCAATACTAATTACAAATTTGTAGAATTTATTTTTAAGGATAAAAAAATTGTGAGTACATTCTTTAATACTAAGCATGATCCCCAATGGTTAACCAGCTCTTGTTTCTATCATTGTTACCTATTAGGTAGCTCTGAACCACTTTAAGTTATCTGTTTGAAGTCAAAATATATAATTGATACATATTTCATAGACTTTGGAGAAGATTGAACTTGGAAGTTCAGTTGACATGTGGCTTATTCAAATCATAAAATTAGGAGTATGCAATCCAGGAATTGTAGAGTACTCTTGTTTTTCTCTTATACATCAGTTGGGCAACTAATAAACAGCAAACTGTTTTATCAACAGGCATCTCATCTATGCTCCAAGCAGCCACAACAAGTATGCAGGGGAATCATTCCCAGGAATTTATGATGCTCTTTTTGATATTGAAAGCAAAGTGGACCCTTCCAAGGCCTGGGGAGAAGTGAAGAGACAGATTTCTATTGCAGCCTTCACAGTGCAGGCTGCAGCAGGAACTTTAAGAGAAGTAGCTTAAGAGGGTGCTTTGGAGAACTCATATTCAATTCATATGGTAGATCACTCAGAAAGAATCATGATGGGTATATTTAAATTAAAAATGGGTATATTAATAAACTAAAAATAAATTTGGAGATTATATATGTGCGTGTATATTCTTTTTTCAAAGAATATGGATCAAAAATGAACAATGGATAACATTTATGCTCTAATTAAAAAGGTTATTCTGAAGTTGAAAAGTTGAACTAAGTATTAACACTAAGGAGAACAGCCTAATATAGTAAAATTCTTATCTGCCATTATCAGGGAATCAAGTCTAATCCAGTACCCTCCAAATCTGTTCACATCATTGAACAGAGAAAAACATGAGTTTGTCCTGCAACACCCTCAGGAAAATGCATAAGACTCCTCCAAACCAGAGGCCTCAAGCCCTGCCTGTCCACCCAAGGCTGGGAGGATCATTATCTTAGCACACCAGTTGGGAAACTCTGATCTAATCACACTTCTAGTAAATATAGTCACTGTATACCATAAGGAATAATTACTTTTTTTAAAATTAAGAGACATTTTATTTATGTAAAAGGCTATATAGAGAATATATGTACAGTGAGAAATAGTAATGAAATGAACATTTGTAAACCCAGTAACCAGATTAAGAAAGGAACATTTCCAATATCCTTTGCTGTCTGTGTAATGCTGGCCCGTTGTGCCTTTTCTGCCAGAGATAATCACTTTTTTGAGTTTTATGTTTATCTTTCCTCTCTTTTCATTTATAATTTTACTACACATGACTATGTCTCTTACATGTTCTGGCTTTATGTATTTTTGAACTTTTTATAAATAAAATCATACCATGTATTTTTTCTGGTACTTGATGTTTTTTTCCACTGGCCTTTGAGAGTTCATCTATGTATCATTGTGGCTGTAGTTCAGATTTCCCTGATATAGAGCATTCACTTGCATGAACATAAGATTTATCAGCCAGTGTTCATCAAGACAAAGAAACCACACAGTAACTTGAACAGGGGAAGTTAATATAAAGGATGATTGATTATATCAGCATTGGAGTAAAGAAGTATTGTATGGTAAAAGGTAAAGAGAACTCTAAAGAATATATGAATATAGGATAGAAAAACATGCACCACATGTACTCGCCATCAAACTGGTACTAACTGATCAACACTGAGGTGCTCACATGGTAGTAATACTCACTGGGTGCAAGTGAGGTGTGAGGGAGTTGGGGGTATAGCAGGTGGGGTGGGTAAACTCACAGCTAACAGAGACGGGGCACACTGTATGGGGGAAGGACATGCTTGTGGCCCTGGCTTGAGAGAGGCAAATGCATTTCATGTAACCAAAATGTTTGTACCCCCCATAATATCCTGAATCAAAAAAAAAAAAAAAAAAAACAAATGTAGATGCTGCTGTGAAAAAAAAATGACATATTGATGTAATACTCAAAATCCTGGTAAAACGTAAAGTATTGCTGCTGCTCATGATATTGCCTTACATATGACTAGATTCAAATGGTACTAAAGTTTAACTTCAAGAACACGAATTCAATTTACTCACTACTTAGGGATTCCTCTTCCTTGGTGAACCACATTTTCAAAAGATTCCATGGTTGTTACAATGAGAACAGGAAGAAAAATGTAGAAACCCAGAAGCCAGTGTTTTTTTAGTCTTCCTTGAAGCTCTGTCCATGATTAAACCTAAAAATAAAAATATGTTAAAATAAAATAAAAGAGTATATGAATAGCAGATACAAGGAGTGGCTATTATCCACAGGGCAAATTCGGAGCGGCCAGTAAAGAATCCCCCCTCATCCCAGGGCTTCATTCAGTGTTAAGAAGTCGCTGTGGTGCTGCATTTGCAAAACTTGCTGCAAATCCACACTCTAGCACACTGACTGCCACACTAGAAAAAACAATTTTTCTTGAGTGTTTTATTACAAAAATAGAATAAAAACTTCAAAAAAAAATGATCCTTTCTAATTTAATGAAAAAATTGTTATTTTTAATTGTTTTCTGTGTGTGAGTTATATGCAATGCAATCCACATTTTTAGAATTAAATTGTCAATATTAGTTGTAACAATAAGAACATCAACAAGGTAAAGAGACGTGTGAGTTATATACGCTTCATGAGGCCCTGGGCTCAAAACTAGTGTGAGTTAAATACAACTCACATGGCAGTTAAGATGTTAGAACTCCCCAGAAACCTGCCTGCTAGGCCACTGTGGAAAGCTGTTTATGGGGAAGCGTCTTGCCAGTGGCACTCCACTCCAAATCTGCCCAAGGGCAGTGTCAGGAGAAGCTCTTGGCTGCTGGGTTCTGCTGACCACCATGAACAGCAGGAACCACGTGCTATAGCAGCAGCCTATCCTACAGGATCTGGAAACTGGTGAAGTATGTGTGCCTTGGGGCCAGATGCTGGAGACATCATTTTTATTGCAGAAGCTGCCAAGGGAGCACATGGAAAGCAGGAAGGAAAACCACCTCTTGCAATGTCTCTGCAATGGCTTCTACTCACAAAGTTTAACATCATGCCACTTGGCAAAGAAAAAAATATTTAAAGGATCCAGATGCGTTTATGAAGACAATGAAGAGTGAACTTAAAGTGAATAACCCAAAGTTGGAAAACTAGTGCGTAACAGAATGAATTTATTCATCTTTCTGCTGGCGTATGTTTGGAAAGTTTTCTGTGTTTTGCTCCTGTGAACATTTCTCTTAATGCAAATATTCAAGAGATGCTCTTTTCTGACAGTATCTACTTCTAAATGGAATTTCTTAGTCATAAAATTTGTACATCTTCAATTTTACTGAGTTGTAAAATTTGCAATGCCAAACTGCTTCAAAGTGATTTTACTTATTTGTATTCCCACTGGTAAAGTAATCATGTTATACAAAATAATAGAAATAAGAAAGATTGTGGTGAGTTAGAGAAATATAAAGAACTCAGCGTTACTATTAATAGAATCCAAAGAGTTTGTGGGACTAACGGTCCATATAGTGAACATCGGATATACTATTTAAGTCTTGGGAAGACATCCAAAGAAATGTAACTATTTTCCTGTAGTTTCTAAAATGCCACATAGTAAGGTTAAGCAGGGTAGGGATATGGTCAGATTTGCATTTTAGAAAGTATCCTGTTCTAACTATAGATGGATTAGAAGGGAATCAACAAGCGAAAGATGAGACCATAAATCTTTTCTCATGACAACAGCTGTGCCATGTGGACTTAACCGTCAGAAAAGATAAGACTACCCTTCTCATACTTTCGATTTCAGCTTAGATGTCATCTCTTCTGGAAAGACTTCCAGGATAATGGCTCCTTCCCTTGTATTGCCAACTAGACCAGAAGCTCCTTAGGGACTAAGTGTTATTTGTTATTTTGTCTCCAATCCCTACCAGTATGCAGAGTCTAGAGCAGACACTCATTTTGTGAATAATCAGAGTAGCATGCATATTGGACTCTGTCTAAGAAATTATCTGCTTTGAAAAGAAGAGCTGTACTCCACACTAGGATTTCTATAATGTTTTTGTAATGGGGTTTGACTGACCGTGCTAACAGGCTTTTTGTGATGTTATTGATAGAGAGTTGGACAATATTATAAGGGTGGGATAAGGTGAACATTATTATTCTAAAAAATAGACAAAAATCTGTATAATATTTGAAAGCTTTGTGAACTTTCAGTCAATTCTGTAAGCATTTAATAAGATTCCCCAAAAAATATCTTATGTAATTCATAACATAATTCGGCAACGCATTTAATGTAACTATCATTCACGAGAGGTTGTGCAGTGATAGGTTGATAGGCGGTAGCGAAGTTTTGAGACAGACTGCCTTAGTTTGAACTCTGGTTCTCTCATTTACTTCAAGTAAAAACTATGGGCTCTTTGTTCTTAAGTTTCTTAATCTCTAACATGGGTATAAAATAGTATCTATTTCACGGGGCTTCTGTAAGAATTAAATAAGCTAGTAATGTAAACCACTAAGAACAGTTTTTAGTGTGTGATTAGTAATAAATAAATGCTTGATACTGTCATTTGAATGATAGAGTATTTCTTAGTTTGCTAATGAAATATCACTTTTTCTCTTTTCTGTCTTCTGCATGATGATACAGTTGAATTAGATGATAAATGTTGTAGCTTTCATCCCTAAAATTCTGAACTATTCTCTTGTATGCATCTTATAAGTTGCTTATTATTTATTTCTAATATAGTTGTAAGATGTCTTTCACTAACTTGTACCTATATATTTGTTGTTTTGTGGGATTCAAAAATGATGTGAATTAACTAACTTCATGAAAAAGAAATGTGTCAAATAAATTTTACATTGATCTAGACATTTATTGGTGATTAAATAAATCATTACCATGTTGTAGTGTCCTGAGAAGGCTAAAGATATTATTTACATTTTAGACAGCAGTTTCATGAACTCTAATCAAGAATATAAGATCAAGAGTAAAGTAAAAAGGTAATCACACAGATCCTTCAAATATTAATAAGTCAATAAAAGGAATTTATGAACAATTGTATGCCTATATATTTGACAATTTAGATGAACACATTTTTTTGAAAAACACATCTTACAAAAGCTGACAGAAGAAAAAATAGATAATCTTAATGAATGACTCATATTAAAGAAATTGAATCCATAATTTAAAAGTAAAAAATCTCACAAGAAAACTCCAATGATCTCTTTCAGTGAAATCTCCCAGACATTTACAATGAAATAACACAAATTCAGACAAACTCTTCCAGAGATCAGAAAGAGAGGTAATATTTCCCAATTCATAACTTTGATATCCAAGCTTGTCAAGTATATTACGAGAAATGAAAATTATAGTATGGACTCTCGCATAAACATAGATGCAACAATTTTAAAGAAATTATTAACTGATCAAATCTAATTAAAGATAAAGGCATAAGATATGTTCAAATGGTATTGTTCTAGAAGAGTAGACTAGGAGGATGCACTGCCAGCGCCTCTCTGCCTGCGCGCCTGGTTCAGGGTGGCCTGGGGCCGCCTTGGCGCAGCGGGAGCCGGGCCCCGCCTCTAGGCCATGGAGAAAGGGGGTGCCGTGGGGGGCCGCCGGTCCTTCCGCGGGGCTCCGCGGCAGCGCTGGTGGCTGCGGCGGCAG